AAGAAGGTCCCATTCATCTATTTTATCTTCTCTTGGGGTAGATAAGCTATAGATTCTTAATCTGCTTTCTGCTCTGGGATGGTAAGAGGCTATGCTATACTAATTCTCTCTAGCCCTCTCAGAGACACACTCTGGGCCTTGTGCCTACATATCTCAGTTGCCCCGCAACAAACACACAATGAGAGACAATGATAGAGAATAAAGAAAAAACTTACTCAGCACAATTTTTCCTGAAATGTATATATCTACAAATACAGACAAACACTCCTCAAAAACAACTCCAATTCATTGCCTTCAAGTTAAAACTGACTCACAGCTGACCCTAAAAGCAGATTCCCACGGCTATTAATCACACAGACAGAGAATGTGCATGTTTCTCTCACAGAGCTGTTAGAGAATTCAGACTGCCAGAGGTGCTGCCAAGACTCTTCTCCAGCACTACAACTCAAAGGGATCAATTCTTCTTCTATCATCATTAGTCATTATCCAGCTCTCTAATGCCTAGCAAGTAATTGCAAAGAACAAGGCCTGGATCAGGCACACCTTAGTTTCCAGACTGATGTCATCACTTCTCAATACTCTGGAAAGGTCCCTGACAGCAGATTTATCTAATGCAAATTCATCTTTTAATTTCCTAACTGCTGGTACCAAAAAGTGTTGATTGTGGAACCAAGCAAGCTGTAATTGCTAACAACCTCAATTTAACAGGGTGCTGCCAATTGGCCCAGTGGTGAGAATCTTTATCTTTTTGATGTTGAGCTTCAATCCATATTGAAGACTATAGATTCAGATTTTTCTTATTTTAAGATAGACTTAAAATACGTCAATAAAATGTAAGAGACAGAGGAGAGCTGTTAGAAATGCACTCTTTTGATAGCTCTGAAATTGTTACCACCTAACCTATACTTGAACCAAGAGGCAGTCGTCAGAACAGAGCAGGGAAACACTGCATGGTTCAAAATTGGGAAGGGGTACACCAAGGATGTGTCCTGTCTCCATACCTTTTCAGCCTGTATGCGGAACAGATCATCCGTGAAGCTGGGCTCTATGAGGAGAAATGCGGCATCAGATTTGGTGGAAGATCTATCAACAATCTGCGTTAAGCAGATGACACAACCCTGCTTGCTGAAACTGAGGAGGACCTGAAGCACTTGCTGCAGAGGGTCAAAGACTGCGGCCTTCAATATGGACTGAGGCTCAATGTCAAGAAGACAAAGATTCTCACCACTGGACCAATTGGCAACATCAGGATGGATACTGAAGAGACTGAGATTGTTCACAGTTTTAGTCTGTTTGGCTCCACAATCAACACTCTTGGCACCAGCAGCCAGGAAATTAAAAGAAGTATTGCGATGGGAAAGTCTGCTGTTAGGGACCTCTCTAAAGTACTGAAGAGCAACGGTGTCTCTCTGCAGACTAAAGTGCATCTGATACGGGCCATGGTTTTTGCAATCACTTGTTATGCATCAGAGAGTTGGACAATGACTAAGGAGGATAGAAAGAGAACTAATGCCTTTGAGCTCTGGTGTTGGAGAAGAGTACTGAGGGTACCATGGACTGCTAGGAAAACAAACAGATTCATCCTGGAGTGGGTTAAACCGGGCTGCTCCTTGGAGGCAAGGATTCTGAGGCTTCATCTGACATACTTTGGTCATCTTGTAAGGAGAGACTGGTCCTTAGAGAAGGACATCATGCTTGGGAGGGTGGAGGGCAAGCGCAGAAGGGGAAGGCCCTCTAGGAGATGGATTGATTCGGTGACTGGAGTAATCAGGATGAGTGTGTCGGAGACAATGAGATTGGTGCAGGACAGAAGAGAGTTTATGGCTGTTGTACATAGGGGCGCTATGAGTCGCAAGCGACTCGACGGCACATAACAACAACAACCTCTTTGAGCCTTGCTGTGATAGAAATCACAAGCACTGAGATATCTGCTTTCTGAGCCCTGGACCAACTATATAAAGCTGCTATAGTAACTAACATAAATGTACTGCTAAACAGAAGGAACTACACAGGTGCTTGTAGCTATTCACATGCATTTCAACTAGAAAGTGAAATATATAATTTATCCAAAAGTAGCTTTAATGTACAGAAACAAAACAAACTTCAATCCACAAGGGACAAAGACCTGCCCCTTATTTACATTTATAAAACTGCATGAACCCAGGACTAATGCAGGGGAGTAGTGAGGCAGAGGCCTGCCTGGTAGAGCCTTCTAGTAATCTGCACAAGGGCATGAACAGAGTGAGCAGATGGGATTCTTTCATTTGTTCATTCTGTGAAAGGACAAAGGGAAATTGCCGATGTGACACAAGTAAGACTCAGTCTTGGATCAGTCCAGTTTCTTCACAGATCTGTTTGAGACAAAATTTTTAAAGTGCTGACCAGAATCCAGTGTTCTTTAGAACTAGTCATGGATATGAACAGGCATGCAATAGAATCACAGTGGCTTACATGTATGTATTTTCCATCCTTCCCCCTCAAAATCTAGGTGGGGAAGGAATTTAGATGAAACAGAAGGGTCAAATGGAAAGTGCATTACACCAGCTTCTTGTTTCTCAGAAACTCTTGAGGTGATGCATGTGTCAGATGCCAGGGAGGATGAGGATGACAATCTGGGTGATGAATAGGGTCCTCTGTCTAGTGCTCTCACTGTCCAACAGAAGCGTTCTTTGTGATAGCTTTGGTAGTCCTGCTGTCTTTGTTCCACCTGTGCTCTGTCAGTTTATCCTTGGCAGCAATCTCAGAATAGTTGTTTACACATTCCTCAACCTGAAAGTACAGGTACACATGCAGTCTGCCACCAGCAAAGAGCCACACTGGTAGAATAGGAGGAATGCAGGTAGATTTGATGGTCACCAGGAATGTAGGAGGTGAAAGAGAAGTGATCCTTAGAGCAATGCTGCTGGGGTAGTATCATGTTCGCTAAGGTCCTTCACGTCCACATGGTTCCCCAGGTCAGGCATAGAAGGCAGAAGATGTCCTTTTGCTTATCCTACATTTGAATGTGATCATTTCCATCTTTCAGGCCACTCCACACTGCATGCCTACAAACTCTTCAGAATTTAATTGGTTTGTATTATTTTGTTTTTTTAAACCATGCCATAGACAAGAGTACACATATATTCTGTGTCATCTAATTCAATGTGAGAGCTAGAATTACAAAGGAATCAGGAAAGTATTTCCTATAATTTACCATTAAGAGAAGACTGGTGTAATTGCCCTGGTTTCCTATTGCGTGTTTCAGGGTTTTTTGTTGTGTTTTGTTTTTTTGTTTGTTTGTTTTTTCATTTGCCAAACAGGCGAGTTCCCATAAGTTGCTGGCATAGCTCACCTGAGAGGTTGTGGGTCTATGGGAGATTCCAGCAGCACCATGGCACCAAGCAAGGGAATGGTGAAGGAAACAGTAAGCATGAAGAAAGTCATTTGGAAGACTCGGTCACTGAAGGTGCTGCCAAAAAGAAAACACACAAAGGGATCAGCAAAGGCTAACCTGGGAAGAAGCTCACCTGGTCCTTTGAGCGCTGGGCCTTCTGCCAATTGTTCACCCTGCAAATCTGCAGATATTCATGGCTTGTCATTAAACTTTGTCACTGTTTACTAAAGTTAGGGAGTATATGCTTGTTCTTTTTAACTATGTAAATAAAACTTCAGCATAAGCAAACCTCTTATGTAAGATTAAAATACATATTCAAATATAGGTTTAAACAAATTCCTCTATAACTAGAAGATGCATTTTGCAATCTGTGCCAGAGAATGATTTTTATAAAACTGACAGCAATAAGAAGACTGGAAGGAAAGATACAAAAGAAATTAAAAATAAAAAAAGAATGTTGAATAGATTTTTTATTTGAGTGACAGTTTACAAATCATGTTTGTTTTTCACTCATGTACCTCTTGTTTTATACACAATTATAATTTCACTAGAGCATTTATATACATTTTATTTTATAACACTAACTTAATTAACTGGAATGTCTCATCAAACCCCTATTTGAATAATACTTTTCAATTCAAAATACTTTCAAGATACAGAGCTTATTTTCTGGGTATTATTGTTGTGGTGGTTAAGTACCATCAGTTTGGAACTAATCCAAAGCTGACCCTCCAACAGATTTTTAGAAAGGACTTAATCACAAGGGAGGAGACTGCCCATCTTTCTCTTGCATTCTGGCTGGTAGATTCAAACCACGTGCTTTTGGGTTGGCAGTGCAATTCCTTAATACTTAGCCATCAGTGTCCAAATGCTAGGCAGTGTTTGTTGTTGTTGTTGTTGTTATGTGCTGTCGAGTCGTTTGCCACTCATAGTGACCCTATGTACAACAGCCCTAAACCCTGCTCTATCCTGTGCCAAACGCATTGCTTCTGACACACCCATCCCGACTACCCCAGTCACTGAATCAATCCACCTCATAGAGGGCCGTCCCCTCCTGCGCTGTCCCTCTACCCTACCCAGCATGATGTCCCTCTCCAAAGACCTGTCTCTCCTTGCAACATGTCCAAAGCATGTCAGACAAGGCCCCAGAATCTTTGCCTCCAAGGAGTAGCCTGGTTTAACCCTCTCTAGGATGAATCTGTTTGTTTTCTTGGCAGTCCATGGTACATTCAATACTCTTCTCCAGCACCACAGCTCAAAGGCGTCAATCCTCCTTCTGTCCTCCCTAGTCATTGTCCAGCTCTCTGATGCATAACAAGTGAGTGCAAAGACCATGGCCTGTATCAGGCACACCTTAGTCTCCAGAGAGACACCGTTGCTCTTGAGTACTTTAGAGAGGTCCCTAACAGCAGACTTTCCCATCGCAATACGTTTTTTGATTTCCTGGCTGCTGGTGCCAAGAGTGTTGATTGTGGAGCCAAGCAAACTGAAACTGTGAACAATCTCAATCTCTTCGCCATCCATCCTGATGCTACCAATTGGTCCAGTGGTGAGAATCTTTGTCTTCTTGACATTGAGCCTCAGTCCATACTGAAGACTGCAGTCCTCGACCCTCTGCAGTAAGTGCATGAGGTCCTCCTCAGTTTCAGCAAGCAGGGTTGTGTCATCTGCATAACGCAGATTGTTGATAGATCTTCCACCAATCCTAAGGGCACGCTTCTCCTCATAGAGCCCAGCCTTTTGGATAATCTGTTCTGCATACAGGTTGAAAAGGTATGGAGATAGGACACATCCCTGGCGCACACCCTTCCCAATTTTGAACCATGCAGTGTTGCCCTGCTCTGTTCTGATGACTGCCTCTTGGTCCAAGTATAGGTTTCGCATTAGCACGTTTAAATGTTCTGGAATTCCCATTCTTCTCAGAGTCAGCCACAGTTTGTTATGATCCACAGTCAAATGCCTTTGCATAATCAATGAAACACAGATAGACATTCTTCTGGTATTCTCTGCTTTCAGCCAAGATCCATCTAACATCAGCTACAATATCCCTAGTACCACAACCCCTTCTAAACCCAGCCTGGACTTCTGGCAGTTCTCTGTTGATGTACTATTCCAGTCGTTTTTGGATAATCTTCAGTAGAATCTTGCTTGCATGTGAAATCAATGAGATTGTTCTGTAGTTTCCATACTCAGTTGGGTTTATCAAAGTACTAATTATCATTCAATAGGTTGGCTGTTATCCAGTTTTCCTTTTCTGCCATTTCTTGTTGATAAATTATATCCTGCACTGTTTTCTATAACTTTTTCAGCCAGAGATTTTTAAGGGCAAAAGTGTAGGCTTACATAGTACTATTATGGTTATAACTTTAACAAAGATTTGCTCTGGTTTGGTTATAACTTCTGGAACACTGACTCCACTTCTGCATCTCTTAATTATTGGATACGGTTTTTAAAGTTTTCCTAGTCCTTTCTCCACAGCTTTAGGTATTTAACCTGGTATTACTGATATGACTGACAGTTCTTAACAAAAGCTTACTTCACAACTTCCTTGTATGTATATGGACATTATCCTGTTACTCACAACACTATATTTGAAGATAGATCTAGAAATTAACTATGAAAGCAACCCCATTTTCCTCACCTTTTCATCTCCAGCATAATAGATCATATGAACATCTGACTCAAAATGTCCCATGCCAGTCCATCTCATTCTGCCAATATTTATGCATTCCAATTTTTTCTTAACAATATCCAATTTTCCAACATTCATGGTTCTTACATTCCATGTTCCAATCACTAGTGTCTGCTTACAACTGTTCCTCCTCCTTCATATTTCCATACTTGTGGACTCAGCCTCAGTTGCCATATCTGCTAATCTAAGTGTGCTCTACATACACAGGGTTTTTGAAGGTCTGCTATTTTGGAAGGGGATGGCCATTTCTTCTTCCTAGTCTGTCTTAGTTTGAATGCTCAGATTTAGAACAGTATCTGACAAGTGTTTTACAGAAAAGAGCAGATGAAAGATATTTCCCTAATCGTAGAAATAACCAATAGATTCATTGTATTACTCACCCTTGACACGTGTGTCTTGACCTACCCCTTTCCCTGTTCCACCAGCATTCCCTTCTACTCCTGAAAAGATTGAAATTAATATAGTCCCTGTAGTTCTCAGCTGAATTAAAATAGTTTCTATAGTTCTCAGCTAAGCTAAACTCAGGAATTTTCCATTGTCCTTGGTAGAGCCCCACACCCAGCTGTATCCAAGGCAACAGTATTTCAAGAATAGCTAGCAAAAAGGCAGAACAAACAAGCTCAACTGATAACCCATGTGCCTTTGTTTCCCGACTGATAACCAACATAACTTGTGCTTTTCCACTGCCCTGGAGTTTGAACTCACTGTATACTTAAGAATTTATGACACCAC